AGTGCTTTCAACTACCTAGAAGAACAGGAGCTCTAGCATAGACAAGGCACTGATGTTTTTGGTACCATGTCTCCTAAAGCTAGGAGGTTAAAGCTGTGTGGTAAGACACAGTTAGAAAACATGGTAGGAGAAACATCTGTCTTCCTTTCCAATTCCAAATCGTTCCCCTGCTGATACCAGGGTGAATTAGACTCTCTAGATCTCCCACAGGTGTGGAAAAGCAAGAATTCATTCAGGAAGTGTCATGATGTCGGTGCCCACGGGAAGGGGGGCTTCACTACCACAGCAGGGCAACAGGGACACCAGCCCCAGCAGCGGAGGGCTCTGACCTGCGAGCGGGACTGGGCTGGGAGGCTGCTCCAGGAAGGCATCTCCACTCTTGCGAGCCATTATTGGAGACAGCTTTGGCCAATGTGATATGGTTATTCTTAAGGTTTTATGATTCAATGTAGTATGGTATGATATAGCGTGACACATATAGCATGGCCACAATAATTAACTGAATTAAGTGAAGCAAAGGATGATGTTCAAACAAAATGGTCTTGCTTCTTCAAAACAAAACTTTTCAAAATTATTAAAATGAAGCCTTCTCACAAAGGAAGGCAATAGCATGGTTTGTTGAGTCTGTTTTTTCAAAAGACCTGAAGTTCTTTTTCTTTTTTTTCCCTGAGATTGCTACATTTTCACAGAATATTTCATTTGCATTCACACGGTACTTTTCTAGAGAAAATGATGCTGCTGGAAAAGAGAAATGATATCTTCTGGAATTTTATAATAGCAACATTACAAGTCAGATTCTCTGTAGCTGTTAATCAGATCCATTTATTTCAGTGGCCTACAGGGCTTGAGAGGCCAGCTCTATCTTTCCAGTTTAGAAGGGACTGCAGAACATCTTTGTTCAGCACAGCAGTCTCAAACTTCTCATCACACTCAAGTATTGACACCTTTATATAAACAGTTTCCTTAATTACCGTTACCCGTTCCGATTCTCCTGGTGAAGGCAGCCACCTTTCTAAACTGCTGAAATCATTTATCGTCATGACGTTTTGGTGCACGAGACTATAAGAAAGTTTGTTAGGCATCTTCCTGTGCAGGGAGGCATGCTTTGATCCCAAAGTGTTCCATCCACAGAATGGTAAGAGAAAATGCCATTTGCTTTTAAGTTCATAAGACTATATAAAGTTTCACCTATGTAGATTACTCTCTTGTGCAACCCAGAAGCATCACAGGAGAGACTAAGAAACAAAAAACTATTTGGAACAGTTTTTCAGCAAGCATAATACATCTTATTTATGATAGAGAGTTCATAAGGCAGTGCTTTTTCTTCCAAATCAACAACCCCTCCCAGGATCTGTGCAGTGACTTCATTTCGGTGGCCTTAAATGCAAGGACTATCTGTAGCTGACAACCCAATGCTACCAAAAAAGAAAAAGAAAAGAAAAAGAAAAAGAACAGAAAAAGAAAAGTTGCAAAAATCTGATAAACCTGACAGATAATGCTGATGTGTGCATATAACCAGAAATCTAAAAAAAAAGAACTATACCCACCAGTCAACAACCAATTATTTCATTTATGTTCAGCTAATAAAATGCTATGGGCAGCTATGCCTCCCCAGACACACAGAAACAGGCAAGAGCATCATCAGAAGAGATAAGCTCTAGCGCTCACTAACACACACAAGCTTGTCAAAGTTTTTCCAGCGCTGCAGAGTTGCTAGCCAACTGGTGGTCGGGCCCAAGAGAAAAAAAATCCTGCTTTTCCTCAGCAGTGTCTAGGTGGGCAGGGGCCACTACAGAAATGAGGAGGAGGAAAAAGTGTTTGGTGCTGGAGGAAGCCAGTGAAATGGGCTTAGCTTTCTAGGGCTGCAGTGGTGGGGACAGGGCAGTCCCAGGGCCCCTGCCCAGCCACCGTCTCTCCAAGTGCCTGGAGACCACTGATCCAGCAGTCACTTGATCCTGATGTAACCCCTCGTGGTATCCACAGCATCAGGATCCTACATTTGCACTCTTTTATAAAGACAGTACTTCTAGAAGGCAGTGTTCTGCAGGCACAAAGGAAAGACCTTTTCACTGCAATGGCTTGGGGTATTCCCTTGTCATCCCTGCTGCATTCCTCAAGATGTTTGGCTTTATAGCCAGGCTTAGCAGGTGAAGGTCCCTGATAAGTAACAAGTCATTACTTGGCATCATACCTGCTGTATCACTCGAAGGGTGAGACATATGCATCTGTGGGATGCCTTCAGGGTGCCCACCCTGCTGGGCACCAAACACCAAATACCGGGGACCAGGAGGCAACTGCCTTTGGGGTGGGCTACAGGTTCTCACACTTTTGAGACACCGGGTCATTTACACAGGTTTCCAAAGGTAGGTGTAAGTTTCTAAATTTTGGGGCTTCATTTTTAATTTTTTTTTTTTAATTTTAGTCCTTGCATACTACCACATCTCTCCTTTTCCCCAAATAAGCTATAGCCTTTAGATAAATCACAGAGATGGGGTAAATTTTCTTTTCCTCCTTTGCAGTGTAACTGCAGAGAGAGGGTGTACACAGACCAATACAACATACAGCTCTCTTTTAGATTAAAGCACAGTGCCAGTAACTATTAACGAGTGTCACATAACCCTGAAAAGCTTAGGGTTTTTTTTGTTGTTGTTTTCCAGAGTAAGGATACATTTTGGTCCTTCTTTTGATGGGGAACACCAACCTATCTATTGCTTTTTTCTTATTTTTTAAATATATTTAAATATCATCTTCTGTTTGCCCCCATAAATTAAGCTATTCAAATATGGTTCTGCAAGTTTGCTCTCAAGAAAAAAATTCTAAGCCAGTATATTTCTTCTGCCCTCATTTCTTAACTTTCTGTTCAAGTTTGAAATTTATTGTTATAACTTTCTGGAACCAGAACAAAAATGATTCAACCTGTTGCTGGTTTGGAGAACTGTTTGGTGGGAAAAGGGGGGAGATAATAAGAGCAAATGAGAAAAAAACAAAACTTGTATTTATTGAATCTCTAACTTTCAACTGTCCAACCTACAGCTTAACCTGACATTTCTACATTTTCTTTTGACATTTTCAGATTAAGTAAATCATGTTTATGTGGGATAGTACCAGCAGACACTAGCCTCCGGTCTCTCCCCACCTCTTCAGGACCTGTCGCCAAAGTGATGCCATGGCAACAGCACTGCGGACATGGCAGGGAATATACACCCATACAGGAGACCACATTATTAGGTAATCTCCTGATTTAAGGGAACATCAAAATTATCTCAAATTCTGCTTCCCTTTTACATTGAGTGGTTGCTATAGGTATGCATGCATGTGCAAACCTACCTGACAGGTGTTCAGTTGCTATCTCTAGATCTGTATTTTAATTTATTTTTCAAATGTCATTAAGGATATAATTAAGGATAGCATTTATTGATTGATTTTTTTTGTAAAATAAACATGAAGCAGTTGACAGTATCAAGTCCTTAGTGCTTTATTGAGGTGTGATTTGGAAAAAACTAAAAGTCTACTTAAAGGTACTTCACGTTCTAAAGGTTTCTGAAATGTATGACTTGCAAAAGTAGCAGTCTGCTATTTACTGTTATTTATCATTTACCTTTTGATCCTGCTCCCTGTGGCTACAAATCCATCTCAGCAAACTGACTTGACAATACACCCGAGAACAACATCAAGATTTTCTTTTCACGAAAAATTCCTAGCCTATATGGCAAATGAAAACAGATATAGGCCACACTAGAAGAATGGAGGAAGGGAAGGAAAGGGAGAGAGAGAATTGGAAATGGAAGTAGGAGAGGGAGAAGAGAGGAGAGGAGACAAGACGAGAGGAGAGGAGAAGACAGAGGAAAAAAGAAAGGAAAGAAGGAAGGAAGAAAGGAAGGAAGGAAGGAGAGAGAGAGAAAAAATTAATAAAGGAAAAAAGAGAAAGAAAAAAGGAAGAAATGAAGAAAGAAAGAAAGAAAGAAAAAAGAAGGAAGGAAGCAGGAGGGAGGAGGGCAGGAGGAAAGCAAAGAAAGAAAAGAATGAAAGAAAATGAAGAAAAAATGTAAGCTTTTTTATAACCTTGATTTAACATCCATTCTGAGCCAAATCTGTTTTTCAGAATATGTTTCCTTGGGGGCTTATAATGAGACTACTGCAGAGAAAACAGCATGATCTGACACAGCACAAACTATTTAGCAGCCTACTGAAAATACAAATAGCTCATGATAACAGGAGTATCAAACTGTAACTGCCTGGAATGTGAGATTATAAAATGTGAGATTATAAAATCTCATGATCCAGATTGAAATTCAATATATTTGTTGAAGTTGTCAGGAAAGGTACACAGACTACTGGAAAATTCTCAGTGCATTCCACACAGATCCTAACAGTGGCTTTTGGACAAGACAAGAAGATGCACGCTTAAAATTAAAGTGAATAACAAAAAAGGCTTCTAATATCAGTCCAAAGTATTCCAAAAAAATGGAAAATATAATAGGAAAGAAGTAGTGGAAAGCCAGCCCTAAAGGGGTGAACAAAGGCAGCAATAGCCTGTTACACGGATGTCTTGAAGGCAAAAGGCATGTTATCCTTACACATGGGTCTCATAAGTTACTTTGTTCTACAGCAATGCCCTTTGAAAACCTGTGGTACCTAGGTATTACAGTATTTAAAGTGGTTTGCTATCATAAACACTCAGATTAGGTAATCTTGCACCCACCAAGCTAAACATCAAAAAGAGAACTAGCCAGCCTAGCAGGCTAGCCACTAGTGTTAGCAAAAATAAATAACAGGGGGCCCTTGCTCACTAAAGCATCCCTATTTAGGAAAGCAGTTAAACAAATGTTTAGACTGAGCACGTGACTGAAGTATTTACTTAAGCGATTTAGTACATTGAGGCCAGATTACTGAAACTTAACTGCTATTCATCCCAGCACACAAAGGCTTCCTCCATACCACAGATATGAAAGCAAATAAGATAAAAGGAGACATGAAATACTAAAAGAGGTGCTACTTACCTGTACTATGTGTTTTGTCTTTTTTATGAAGCCATTTGTAACCATTCCTAAGCATGGTTTGTATTAAGGCTGGATCGCAAATGGCACCTACCATGCAGCTGTTTACATCTGGCTGCCAGGTGTTTGATTGGTGTTTGCCAGGAGCAGATGAACACCTCAGAGGGACCTTTCAGAGCTGAGATGCAGAGCCAGAGAGGAGGAAAGGAAGCAGGGTCATTACTGTTCCCTCCCCATTAAGCCTTCTGCTCTGAAATGCAAATTGTGTTGGACAGAAATATTGGATGGGAAACTCTGCCAGTTTCTTCTAAGGTGGTGAAAAGGGTAACAGTGAATACACCCAGTAGGAATACAGGCCAAGTCAGCTAGAGAAGAAAAGATCATTAACATTATTTCAACTCCAGCTAAAGCCTTTAGCAGCAGGATAGCAGGAATTCAAGGCATAGCCTTTGGCTGCACTAGCATTGAAGAGTTAGTTGTCCTGATGGGGGTTCAGCCCCAGCAGCCAGGAGTGGGAGCATGAGACAAGAAATTCATCAGATGTGCCCTGGAGTTTGCCAGTGGGTTCTGTGCACACACCGAGGCGTGTGCACATGGCGGCTCCAAATAGCACTGTTGCTTCCTTCTGTAGACATGTAACTGCTGTCCTTTTGCTCCATATTCTGTGGGGTTTATTTTTCAAGTGCATGTTGCTCTCCTCCTGGTTCCTCCTATGGTTGCAGTGAGGAAGCAGGAGGAACCTCCCAGTGAATCCAGCATGCATTAAAAACTGTTCAGTATGATGAAGAGCTCAGTGCCTTGATTCCCCACAGGCTGAGGAGCCAGACCTGTTTTTGAAAGCCCATTCACCATCTTCTGCCGAAAGATGAAAAATCTAGATCTGACATCAGACAAACCTCTCCAAACCTATCCGGAGACATAGCCTTTTGCCCACCTCATTATGCATCATATTAGTAGTTGGGGCCAGTGAAAAATATGAGCTGCAAGGAACATCCCCCGCCATATCTTGCCTGCCTTCTCTGGCTTGTCACAAGAGAGCTGGAAAAGCTATGAGGCAGGAGGATCCAGGACACAAGACATAAGGAAAATACAGGAATTCACCCCTTTCACTGCACGTCTGCAAGTTTGTTACTACCAGTCTGGTACTTTAAGAGCCAAGTATGCTGGGGCTTTGGCAGAGTAGTTTCATTCGAAATGAACAGTACAACATATACGGATCTAACCAAGAGATCTTTGTTAATATAACTGGCTGGTACCACAGGATTAGGCTTCTTTCCAGACTAGTTGCCTGGAGTATTGAAGGAGGATAACCAGGTTTTCTAGTCAGGATAATACGATTGAAAATCTCATGTATTCCCTCAGCTCCCTGTCTATGCAGTTTCTCGCCTTTGCAGCAACTTCTTCCTCTGTAACAGAATTAGAGTAAAAGGAGGGGAAAATGCAGGAGTCATAAAAAAAAGGCTGAACAATCAGCTCTTTGCATGCATACACACGTACTGTGTAGAGCCTGGAGCTTGGCTCCTGGAAGAGGCCAGCTAGCTGCCTGGCTGCAGAGTTCGGGAAGTCCTGCAGCTCACAAAGGTTGCTTTGACACAGCAAGTCTGAATTCAGCACTCTCGCTCTGCGGAGTCAACATCTTGGCAGATCTAGTGCTTCCAGGTTGCCTGAAGAATTATCACAAGGCAGATAAACGATTGTTAGCCCTTTCTCACACAAAAAGCTGAGGAATTTCTCCAAGGGTTATGTAACATAAAGCACCCCAAATTAGCACCATTCATGCTATCACAGACATGCACCAACTGCAAAAATAACATCCCCAGTGACAGCATTGCAGCCTGGCTTAAGAACCTACAAAATAAAATGTAGTCATAAATTCCCAACCCAAGCATACCACCAAACTCCCCCACTTCATCTCTGACCATAACCAATTTGTTTTCAATAACCGATAATCCTTCAGACCAAAGGCACCTCGATGGCCCCAACATATATGAGCTTCTTCATAAGCCACATCACAGAAGACTTTTTTTTTTTTAAGATAACTCTGTCATCAAGCCTATGCTTTAACTAACGTTCAGAAATCACGCCCCCACCATCTGGATTGGAAACCTGTACTTTGTTAATAATTCCCATCACAAATTCAGCAATCACCAATGCCATCAGGCTGGCTTTGAAATATTCTTGCACCATCATCAGCTTCAGAGACTATCCTTACAAGTGACACACTAAATTCTACCAGGAACAATAATGCCTGCAGATCAACACAGCTAGAGCTGGCAAGCATTCAAAACACTGAAATGCTGTGCCTTACAGCACACTCTCAGATACCACTAGTCACTTGCAGGAGAGAATTCATGACACTCACTTCACTAGTATAAAGCTGCCCATCTGAGAAACTACTCTTACCTTTCATTGAATGAGCAGCCAAAGGCTTACTTGAACACAAAGAAAAAACCCTAATCAACTGACTTTGCCCCTCCATATTCACATACTGCACCATACTGGAATCCACATCGAAAATCACCAAGCAACTACAACTAGCATTGCAAGACCATAAGTTTTGAAAGAAATTTTGCCCAGCATCTAACTTCCTAACTTTCAAACAATCTCCAACCTCAAAAAATGCATAATCGGAAACAAATGAAACTGAATCTGCCCTTGACAAAAGAATAGCAAAAAAAGGAAAAAAATCTGGAAGCCCATCTCCACACCCGCTGCAATGACTGCCCTCCAAACAGCACCACTGCAATCCAGGGAGCCTTCACATGCTCGCCATGAAACATGACACACTGTATCCCATACACTAAAGGACTTATGGAAACTATGCAGTTGAACAACTCTTATGCACTGGTGTGAACTCTGCTGGACAATTAATAAAGGACCACAGCATCCAGTTACCACGTGGAGAATATTTTACACTGAATGTTCCCTCTGACCTCTCCGAGAGTCATCGTGAAGGGAGACTTCCGAGATAACTTCAAAAGGCAAGCCTGACAAGGGAAATGCTTGACTCTGACAGATTAAAAAAAAATCAGGAACTCAACAAAGACATTGCATTTAAGGCATGCTTCAGTCTTCCCTTTGTCTGGATAGATCATGTTAGTTCCACAAAGGCTGCCTGCCGACCTTCCTCTCCCTCACTTTGTTCTGAAGTCATAAACAGGTTATTGCCTCCCTCCTTGCTAAAACCCTCTCTGGACTCCACAGACTCTAACTACCCTTTCTCTCTCAAGCTGTCCAGTCAGGTAACATAATCGAGTTAAACAAAGAGCTATTGTTTCCAACCTGTACTTAGTCTGGAAGATGTTGCTTCTTTGTGAGTCCTGAGGAAAGATCTGTGTGCCCAGCGGTTTATCTGTTTGAGTTTTTTTCCCAGCTATACCAGCTGGCCTAAAGAAAGATACCGTTTCTGTCTGTGAACCTGGCAAAATGCATTATTGCGCTAACCTTCACATGCTTTGAGCCTTTCACACCATGATGGGGTATTCAGGGCTGCTGTGGGAAGAATTTGCCATGCATGTGCCACACAGATGCTCTCCTGGGCCACGGGACATAGAGTCAAGGCACTTTGTGTGTCCTGGTCTGTGCCCCAGGCCTGTATTCAGTGCAAAAACACAGATGTGGTTAAAAATACCAGAATGGAAAGCAAATTGTGATTTAGAGAGCTACAATGAAGTCCCTGCTCCCAGCCCTTGGTTCAAAGGAAAGTAGCCAGCGTCAGCTCTTGCCTCCTCCCATGGTTTG